ATCTTCCTCCAGATGCTCCAACTCTCCGGCAGCCTTCCAGCAGATAGCATTCAGCCCTTTCCGTGCTTCGTTTCGAGCCCCTTGCTCCTGCATTCGCCTGTGACCTGAGGTCCGATCCTTGGCGTTGCAACTGGCTGCCTAATGAGCCTCGGATGCTCTAGCTTTTTCTTTGTTTCTGAATGGCTGCTACTCAGCAGGAATTAGGGGATGAATGGCTAAAGAAATCCTCAAGAGTTCTCGTTAGAAACTTGTCCCCAAGTTCATTCTTTCCCTATTGAATGTTGCATTCAGTTTTGCCATGCGTTCCGTGCCTGTGGCACGTCTCCCATCTGAGCGCAGTGCGGGCTTTCAATGTAGCGCTAATAGCAGACCTTCCCGAAGTCTATCTTGCATTCTTGGATGGATGGGTACATTACATGTTCTACGCTAGCTGGTTATCTCGTCGTTCTCTCATCCTCCCTTTGCCTCCCCCTTCCTCCCGCAACTCGACCACAGCCAGGGAAAGCAAATTCTACGGCGTCCTAGCCACGCTATTCGGTCAAGTACTGCAACTCCGCAACTGTGCTGGTGCTACTGCAAAACGGCAACGACAACATTTAGCAGAACGTCTTTCTCCTGCTGCTGCTGCTGCTGCTGCTGCTTTTCGCATTCACGGTGCTCCTGATAGACTGGTTGTCATTCTAGTGAGTATCACTGATGGTGCGGAGCAGCTCTTGAGACTTCTATCGGCAACCAAGGCGCATGGGTAAAAGCATTTGGTTCCAGTACCTGGACCTGCTCTGCAAGCAACACGCCGGAACACGACTCGGGTCGTCACAGAAGGGTTACCAGCCAGGCTCCTGATGCTACGGACAGCGGGTAAGTGTGCAGGTCAGTGCTAGCAGGGCAGTACCATGACGATGTTGTTGTTGTTGTTGATGTTGTTGATGATGATGATGATCACGAGCTGCAGGGCATGTCATCTGAAGTGGCGGCGGGGAGAGAAGTCCAACCAGAACATCACCAAGGTCTGGACCCCTCCATCATTGCGGGAAGCTGCAGCATCCTCCCAAGTGGTCATGAGAACCTACAGCAAGCCTCCGCAGGACAGCTGAAAGCGCACTCCAACCCTCATGTCTTCTTTCAATCCCTTTTTCTCTGCGTCTCAAGAACCGAGGTACGAGGCCAGCCTTCCTGCAGGTCAGAGGGGCCAGCTGCCACAGGCCTCGAAGCGAGGAGGCACCATCATTAGCATCAGATTCGAGATTCCAGGGACAGATCTAACGTTTTCGTACAGCACAAACCTTTGGCAAAAGCAGCAAAGGGAGTGCTTGCCAAGCATGCATTTTGCACAGAGTCCTTGTTCGCACTAGATGCTGCATTGACGTACATCTGCCCGGATCGGGTGCCATGCCACAACCTTGATGCTGCTACGAGCGAGACACTGCATTCCTGTTGCAGGCAGCTGGAAACATGCAGTGGCCGTGCCTCAGCAGCGCGGCATCGGAAATGGCATCCGGAAGGTGTAAGAAGAGCAAGAGTGCCAGGGAGATGCCTTAGCTAGTCCTCAGGCTGCTCTGTGAGGGACATGTCAGAAAGCCTGCGGCAGCAAGTCACAAGGGCCTTGCCGTCAATCCTGCCAAGCAGTCACTGCCATGCCCGCAGTCAAGGATGGATGCTACGACTCTGCTAGCTCTGCTGTGGATGGCTCTCAGCAGCTGGTACAACGGGTCTCCAGCTTCCGGATCATGGGAGAAACATGAAGTTTGTTTCCAGCCAACGCGCGTGTGCTCGTTTGTGTTGCAGTCTTTGCGTCGTTTTTCTCGAGATGGTCAGGGCAAGTCAAGTTTGCAGAATCCAGCCTCTTGTTGTATTCAGCCCATACCACCTGACTCAAGGCAGCTGCTTGTACCCCATCCTTTTCTCTGACCTGACGCACTTCCTCAGACACGGCTTCTTGCGCAAGCTCGGCAAGAACATGGAGACCCAGATGCAAACATGAAGGAAAGCATTGTTCTCTGAGCCTTAGACTGAGCAGACCGGCTGCCTTGGCCAGCTCAGGAGCAGATCCTGAATCCCCGTCAGGCGTTCCGAAGTAGGTGGTATCGCACGTCGCTGTCATTCCCACCGTGGCCGCCCAGCTGAGAGTGCAACTTTGAGGATTGGACTAGGCTTAGGGAGCATCTCAGGCTGAAGATCTGATCTGTGGGTCAGGATTTTTGGATGAGGGCGATCTGCATGTAATCACCCCCTCGCCAGGAAAGGCATGCATCAAAGCCGGCCCTCAGCCACAAGTGGGCATATTCTGTAATTACAGGACGAGATTGAAGCAAACACCTGCGCGAACGAGAGTGAGGCCGCCAGAAGTTGCGGAAGCTGCTGAGCAACTCTGTGCTCTGGGCGTGCAATGCGCATGGCCTACAGTGAACCACTTGCGCCTTGCTGACATGTTATGACACGATCAACTCTTGTAAGTTTCCATGAGTTTTGTCAGGATGCACAGCGGGCGCTCGTATAGGTTGGTGGTCTTCAAGTTATTTAGGCATATGCCAGGACCTGTTCCAGGGCATTTTTGGATTATATTCAGTCAGAAATACGAGGAAACCAACAACCAGAGCAAGTCAACAATAGTCTTAAAGGCCCACAAAATACAAAGCGGCCAGAAGGCCGCAGAAATGGAAGGGCTTCTATAATCTCGGGATGTGAATATCTAAATTTGGAAAAGATACTTCCCAAGCAAGCCCGTTGCCTTGAGGCTCCCGCGCTGCGGCGAGGTGTTGCTGACCTCTGCGGGCTGGCAGTCGCACAGTGGACTCAGGCAACAATCACTCATCGGCGCATGACTTTCTGGGCGGACTTGATGACTTGGCTTTTGAGAGGATTTTGCATATGTTTGGCTTCATTTGTCTTTGTGACGACCCAGGATGTAAACATGGCATGTCGGGGTATAGCGGGAATTTTGAGGCGTATCTCTTGCCCACATTGAGGCGCGATCTGCTCTCAAATGCGGCACGGCTAGCTTCAGCACTGCCCCCCGCGCTGCCGGTGCTAAGCAAGGTCGCTTTGAGAGTAGCGGAGCGACTTGGCAAGAAAGTTGTTTCACCAATTTTCGGTGAGCGTACAGCTGACAAACAAGTTCAGCTGGAGGGTGTTGCCTTTGTCGCTAGTTAGGCGGCAGGAAACAGATTGGGATGACAGAAGCAGCACAAGCATAGTGGGAGCCAAGTGGCAGCGCTCAAGCCAGTCATACCCTGGGCGTCGAAAGAATCAGGTCCAAACCCGATGAGCAGACAGTTACAGTTTTAGAGGAATGGGAATGGGACAGCTTTGGGCATGCCTTATGTTAGGGTCACCTTGTTCCGCCGCGAAATTATTCAGGAGTACATGCGAAGTCGGCCTTGTCTTGTAAATTGCTCCATAACTTGAGGAACCTTCAGCGCACTCCTGCATTGAAGCTTCCAGACGCTCGGGGCTCCCGGCCTGAGGCGAGACTTGGGTCGCAAGATTTTTTCAGAGGTTGTTCAGTTCAGTGCACGCTGTGATGCCACACTCATCCTCATTACTTACATGTATCAATGCTAGTAATGGTTGTTTGTTACGCTTCTCACCCTTTTCAAGTTCTAGATGTTGTTCCTTGGGACTTACACGGTAGATTGCCAGCTCGAAAACCTTTTGGACATTCAGGCCCCGGGCTGCTTTGATCGTTGTTGCAGAGCCAGTGAATCCAACTGCCTTGCACGTTGCACACGCCTCCGCGCCTTGTACGGATTCTGCCTGAAAGGGCCAATTCCCGGCGCAGCACATGCCCGAATGGTCAGGGTCTCCAGTGAGCACACGCTTGCCTCCGCTGGCGCAAGCTCCTCATGATTTCCTTTGTCTTGCTTGCACCATGAAGTGTGAAAGACCGACCAGTGCTAGTAGCACAGCGCGCAGCGCGTTCGATTGGTTACGAACATGCAACGAGACATGCAAGGCTACTTACAGAGCAATGTCAAGAGCCATCGTCGGAAAGGGCCGGTGCAAGCCAAAACTTGCATTGCCATGAGAAAGGAGTCTCGCCTTGTGACATGATGCCCATGCCCGTCGGTAATTGCAAAAGCATAAGCAATCCATTATCTCCCGTCGTGCTGTGCAAGCTTGTGTGTTGTTTCAAGCTGCGCGCGTGCAGAGCTTTGGTTTTGACGTCGCGGCTTCTGACCACACGTTATATAGATCGGAGGGCAAACTTGTGCTCCGCATCTTGGCCCGGGAGTAATGCTTCCGCTGCCGAAAGTTGTGAGGCAGATTTAGGGCAATGTTCCGGGTGTTCAAACTGTTTTCCGTTTGCGCTTTTCGTCGCTGAAATCATTTTTTGTTTGGAACGCTTGGAGCTGTAGAGCATGTGCAGCCCAGCATGACCAATGATTTGCCAGGGCAAAATGGACGGATCACAGCTCTAGCAAGCGTTACTCAAGATGAAAGCTCTAGCAAGCGTTGCCCAAGATGAAAGGATGTTGGGCTTGCGGCATGATTCAGGCCGTGCTCAGAGCATTGGGGTGTATTGGGGTCCATGCCGGGGGCAGGGTGTGTAGGATCAGCATTCATGAACGTACTTCTTGCTAATGAGATCTTGCAAGGGAAGTATGTAGAGTTTTTCAGGTGAAGCAACAGCTCCTCAAATGAGCTTGGGAGGTCACCGCGTTTCTCTTTAACCTCGCAGCTCTCGTCAAGGAGCGGTTCTGCATATGGGTGGTTGTCAAAATGATGGTCCCTTTTTGGATCCCGAGTATAATACGGCACCTAATATTTAGGGTACCCGAAAAGGGACCATAATTTCGACAACCACCCATATGGACGAAAGGTGACTAACGTTAAGCAGAGATACAGCTGGATGAAGCACCATTCATGGTCCTTTCGCGCAGCAAACTCACAGTGGGCCTTGAGATGTTTTCAGATCCGTCCCGTCAGAGCCATTCCCAGTTGCAGGAGTGATAGAACATGCAGTTACATTCACTGTGTATGACATGTGCGATCTTGCCCAGATGACACGGCGAGTCAGCCCCAACGAGTACAAGCCACTAGGCAGCCTCTAAGGACTGCGGATGTTTGGGTGTTGCAGTGCCACCCCTGAGTCCCGTAATTCAGCCTTGCCACAGTCCCAGACTGAGGCCCGTGGCGACAACACGAAGGTGGCAACCGGGCGTTGTTGGGCACTTGATGTTGCGAAGGGAATAGTGACATTGAGCTCCTCGGTGCAGAAACTCTTGGTCAAGAATGCTAAGATGGATCCAACTGATGAAGGTACCTGCTAGATTCGTTTCCTGCACATGTCTAAAAGCAGTGCAGGGGAAGAAGGCTAGCAGCAGCTCTAATATACTCTAATCGGTTCCCTTAGATGAAGCAACAAAGGGAGGCAGAGCCTGGAGACAGTTCCATCAAACCTTTGACCCTGACATTGTACAAACAAGGGGACGAAGTGTCATGCTTTCCGACGGCATGTAGTAACGTTCTTCAGAAGCGAGCCTGAAACCAGATGCATGAGTTCTCCCGGGTGGAGATTTACAGACCCAAGCGAGGTAGGGAGCCTGGTGATTCAAATCAGAAGCAAGAAGCTTAAGTGTTGCAGGAAGCGCCCGCTTGGGAATGCCCAACAACACAGCGACGGACCTGCAGAAACTGCGCAAGCTTCTGCTCCAGGACATCGAAACTGCATTGGTGTCCGAGCTCTTCATATCATGACTTGTGCTTGAACTGCTGCAGTCACGAGTTGAGATGACGGGTTCCCTGCTCCAACTGACCGCAGCAAATGTGAACCAATGCTGGCAGACAGAGTTGACATGGTGGGGTAGCATAGCCGCGCAGAACTCAATGCGAAGACGCCACACGAGATCTTGTCATGTTTAGTGAGGAGAGGAGGGGCAGCCGCAGCCAGCCAATGAAGAGGTCGTTGAAGTTTTCCCCGAGCAGATGGAAGGCCTGTAGGAGCCGGGCGCGAGCAGCTTGAGATGTTTGAGATTTCTGTTGCGCTGCAGCTAACGCTTCCCCTCTTGCGTCTGAAGCATGTGCTGCAGGTCGCCACGATGCTCAGCCATCGCGGTTGCCGGCGGATGCCTTCCACGAACAAGTCCTGCTGGGATGTGCTCCTCGGCTTTAGCATGCTGGCTTTAGCAGCGCAAGCGTTTGTGGCGCAAAAAGGCTGGACTCGAGATTTGCTCCACTGAAGCTAGCTTGGCGGGGATGGTTCACTTGAACTGGTTGGTTGCTAACAGCAAATGAAGATGGCTGAGCAAGATTGCCTGAGCTTGCCGAACCTCACTTCGATGCCACCTGTTCAATTGAGCCCGAGCAAGTTTAATATAGAGGGTAATTTCAGGGACTTCTGAAACCCAATTGCAGGCCTCATTTTTTGATCAGATGGCTCATGCAAGGCGGAGGCAACACGGCTTGGACGTTCCCACGGGTATTCGGCACAACACTAGACTAAGTCCGTGACAGACACCAGCAGTGCCAGATGAAATCGCTACATCCAATCGCTACATCTGAGACAGTGTTATCAGGGTCCACAGTATTTCAATTTATTTCATGGAGTAGGGCCATGGTGATCATTTGTTCTATGTCGCAGCATATCAGTTTCCTTTTGAGATGGCAAGCCCAGGAGCCTGAGCTCTCTCAAGCTTGGCAAAGAATCCAGATGCAGAACATGCAGAAGCAGCTCCGAGCCTCAGTTCTCAAAAGGATCCCATTTGAATCGCTGGGTGAAAACGGGAGCCATGACATTAATTCATGTAACGTAGCAGTTCCAGGCTTCGATTGTTGAGGCTTGGAGAAAGTCTTCTGAGACTGTTCCGGCCTGTGCTTGAGAAACGCTTTGGAACGAACCATCCTGGCTAAATTCCAGAACGCACATTTTATCACTGCCTTTTTTGAATGTTTTTATGGCCTGGGACATCCTGGGACACTTTGTGAGGAACGCTCGGCCGCTACAAAGACTACGATGATGCCGCGCAGCGAGACAAGGCAAAGTCGTTGACACGACTCTCAACAAATCTGAAGTGTACAAGATGCTCAAAAAGTGATGCATCGGGGGCATGTGCTCATAGCAAGTGGCTTCCGCTGCGCAACATCCTGAGCAGGACGGTGAAGCGCGGTCATCCGGCTCCCGGCGTTTGCGGCGACTCCACGTCCTCTGACTTTGAAAAGTTTCCGCTGCTGCTACTTACTGGCGTTATAGAACTAGTACTGGAACTAGTGCCCAGTTCTGCTTGCTACTACTGGCATGGCATCTCCGTAGCTGCTGCTCTGTACAGGAGAGGTCGGTATCCTCAACTCTTATACTATTTTAGCAGATGTGGTAGAAGAATCAGTCAGGAGGAAGAGAAGGAGCTGGTGCAGTAGAGTGCACCAGTACAAGCAGGAGTAGGCACAGAGAACTGTCGGCATCTAGAGTGATAATTCAATAAACAAATGGAGGTCCCGTAAATTTCATGACGTGTCAACTCAGGTTATTGGCCAGAATGACAGTCTTTCCAGTGACACGGAGACGGAGGTGGTGCAGCGGGCAGTCGTTGTGAAGGACGGAGTGGCCCAGTATGGCCCAGTCATAACTCAAGCCAGTGTGGTGGTTCATCAGTCGCATTTCGAAGCGGCAGCTCTGCTTCTTCACCTTGTCATCTTGTTATGCGTTGGCCTGCGCGATGCTGGTAACCTGGTAGAGTCGTGACTGAACCCTCTGCAAAGGTCTTGGGCAAGCAGGGTTGTCATGACATCGCCTCCTGGGGCCTGAGCTCTTTCTCTTGGTGGCAGAAGCAGGAGAGTAGAAGCAGAAGGAGGCGGAGGAGTAGGAGATTAATTTGGAGCTCATCTTCTACGGTCATCTGGGACCACATTCTAGTACTGTCACCCTTCTTAGTGTTTACCTGCTCCAAATCTAGGGTTCTCACTGGGGGATGCTATATATATATATAAATCGTTGGCTTTCGGCTACACTGAAGTCAAACATCAATTGCTTACACAGCAATCCTGGCCCAGGAAGTTTTTTGGTCACTGTCACACTCATTCTGAGAGCTACTAGACATGCATGATTTGGAGGGTGGCATTGGCGGTTGAGACACAGGCTTCAGAAATGAAACCTCTCGCTGGCATCTTCCAACCAACTGTTGTTCTTGGCCTTTTTTGGTACGCGGCCTCGTCTTGATAGCATAAGTGCTGCATTCCTGCGAAAGTATCAATCTCAGCATCTGCGAAGGAGGAGCTGGTCAAGGAAGAGCTGGCAGAGGCAGATGGCCTCACCAAGCAGGACGGTCCTTGCAGGTTCTGGCCGGCAAGCATCCTGCTAGCTTAATTAGCAGGCGCGAGAATCACACGTTTGGCCATGCACAGTAAGAAGTGGCCAGAAACGAGCATACCCAACCGTTAGTGAACACTTTTTACAAGTAACAGCTGGCCTGCAACTCTCTTTGCGACTTCACATGCCACGTGCTCGGCAAGAACACTCATGTGTTTGGACGGCCTTGTAGGAGCACAAAGAGGCAAGGTCTCGGTCAACCAGGCGAAGGTCGCGAGCCGAGGCACCGAAGGGTTAAATGTAGACAACCACTACCAGATTCGCATGAGGGATACAGTTGCCTCAATCGTTGGTTCGTGCTTCTGGGCTGTGCAGGTTGCTTTTTCTCGTCAAATTCAGGCCGAGAGCAGTCACAGAGCTCTCAGCGCAAGGGATCTGGGTTTCATTCGAGCTTGTTCTGTCAAAATCCTTCTGGTCTTTGCATTACTTTCTGTGCAAAATCCTTTTCGGTCCCTCTGCAAGCATGACCTCTTGAACTCTTTCGTGCCGATATGGTGTTGGCATAAGGAAAGTTCAGGCCGGCACAGTCTGACCAGAGGCTTTTCAGTGAATTATCCGACCCCACAGCAAGCTCTCATGCCAGGCGTCCTGTCGTCCGTCTCACTCATGCTGCCCTGCAGTCGATTGCCCCCCCTCCCTAGCAAAAATATGCAGTAGCTACATCAGGACAAGGTGGCCAATGCCCGCTTGCGACGCTTGCATTGGATCGGGCGTGCAGCTTGTCTGGCAAATGTGGGGATGTGTATGGACCAGGCTTTTTTTAGCCCCTGCTCGGAACGTGCAGGTAATGGACGTCATTAGAGTTGTCTTTCCGCTTGTGGCGCTGAGGTGCTCTCCCACCGTCGCCCCATGCCAATGGGCAGAAAGTACACGCCGATCGGCTCGTCCACGCAGCGACAGCATCAGAAGCGAAGCCTCAAGGAGCGCTTCAATAGGACAGCAGGCGGTAGCAGCAAGCAAGTGAGAGTGTGTGTTGGGCGGGGCCGGGGGGGGGCGGGGGGCAGGTCAATTTGTGACAATTTCTTCGACTCCTTTCCACAAGTTACTCCTTACTGGTGGCCAGTCATGAATGTTGATGACTTTGCTGACCTCCGTGCTCCTCGCGCTTTCTTTTTATCTAATTCTGCTTCTGTTTCTCCGCCTCATGCGGCTTCAGCCTGCACTGGTTCAGTCTTTCTAGGCAGCCATTGTTGCGATTACGCGTTAACGTGTTTACCAAGAGTGCTAGCCGTGGTCCTGCTCGTGCTATGGGTGAAGAGCTGCTGGCAGCAACTGATCTAAAGCAGTGAAGGAAGGTATCCTCCTCTCCTCGCGTCGCCGAATTCTCATGGTGCGGTACCTCTCTGAGCAAAGAGCCGAGCGGAAGGCGCAGGGTTGGGAAGAGAGTGGTTGCTCATGTCATTGAATGCCGCCCATGGCCCGTGGCATTTTGTACTTGTCCAAGCAAGGGCTTGTAGAGGCTCTGCTTGCAAGTATCTCTGCCGGGCCCGGGGTGGTGTTGCATCGAATTGTTATCTTGATTGCTACATCGCGCTGATTTGCCAGGACCCAGTTTTAAAGAGCCAACTTGCATGCAGCTATTGAACCGAGATTCGTGTCAGAGAGCAGAAGGAGTTGACCTAACCATGCATGCCACTACGCAGGCTCGACGAAAGGTCTCCAAGGAGGCGCGACGGCGGCATCAGGACTGGGGGCTTTGGTCCTTCTACCAGTGGTTACTGTCAGGAGCGAGAGATGCATTTTCTGCTGGAGCACTGTAATAGATGCAGCAGCCCTCCTATCCAAATCGCGTGGAACATTCCGAGCAGAGAGGATTGGGGAGAAGATCGATTGATGCATGCAACTTGCCAGCACGTTGGACTCTGGAGCCATGTCGCAGATGTTGAGAATGCAGGCGGATGTTCTTTCCAAACTTCACCCCAAATTAAATCTGCTTTGGGTTTTCAGACCTGACGACGTCCACGAAGCTTGTTCACAGCACCCTGGCCCTGTCTGACCCGGTGCATCAAGGCCTCCTAGCCATACTGAGGGGTCTAGGGAAGTAGATGGTTCTGGATGGCGCCTTTGCTCCTTCCAACACAACAGTAGCTCAGGAAGGTTTCTATCCTGCAGGTCACTACATTCCTTGCTTTTGGCGTGCTGTCCATGCATTTCTCCGTATGCATGTCGAACAGAGCAAGGCCATGGTTTGGAGATCTGGGGTGCGGTAGTATTTTGGCCATCTGCTTCGTAAACCACGGGAGCACGCTTGATTTGTGCACCGTAGTAACTGATCGACTCTGCTGGAAACAAACGGGCCACTTGCACTTCAAATTTTCTCCTAATCCGGGGGACGCAGCAGTTTGCATCAACTTTTTTGGGATAAGTGGCAGCATTGCGTTGTGCGCTTAGTACCACGGCTCTTCAGCGTAGTCATCCTTCAGCATGGGGAGGAATATCCACCGCTGTGGTTTGATGAGGAACATGGACTGCAGATATGGCGCCCTCCTTTCGGGGACAAGGGAGTTGTTCGTGCACGTTCGGATGCTGCACAGTTTCTGGATCGTAGTCTTCCACATGTCTGCGGTAGTCTTTGACGCCAAGTTTGGCGTAGTTCATCAAATTTGCATTTGTTGAAAAGACCGTCTCAGTGTGTAGCGCTTGTTGATATTTTGAGCCCTTCGTACTTGCCACGCCTTTAGAGACTAACTCCTCAGCCATGAGTGCTGTTTGGTATGTCTTGATGCTTCCTGTTTTGAAATGCGTTCACGGAGTGGCTGTCTCGTTGGCACTTTTTGTCCTTTCAGCCTGGAATTGCCGCAGCAAGCTCCCCCAGTACACGAAGACTAGCTCCCAGGCAAGGCTGCAGCGGAGTCCGCTGGCCTTGTGCTGCCGTCAAGTTGCACACTGCCCCGTGGCCTCCTGAACTTCAGGAGAATTAAGATCATGGTGTGAGTAAAAAGTGAGTTTCAAGATCACCTGCAGCTCCAAGTATTTTGTCTGGGGCGTTTAATGGCGTTAGATCAAGGTACGGCTACGGTGTCAACGTCAACAGTTACAACGACGGTGCCCGGGAACTGGATGACTTGATGTCGTAATCTGTCGTATGTTTGAGTAAGCCCGGTGCCTTCTTCATCTTTTTGCAGCACTACACGTGCACTTGCAGTGTATGATGCGAAAGTAATCCTGGCAATGTCTTAGCCCGGTGAACCCTGCAGTAGAGTTTGGTTTGCTGAGCGTCCAGACCCACTGAACCTCTGAACTTTGCTTTTACACGCGTATGCGAACTTGTTGAGCCCATGGCCAGTGCAATCCTTGATGCGAGACCGGAACCAAGTCACTTCAAATCATCTCAGAGGCATGACGACCTTTCAACGCCTATATTGAGGGCACACTCAAACTTCCCATCATCGGACCGCGACCATGTGTCGCAGGACGGGACCAGCTCCTCCCCACCAGTAGGTCAACTGCCATGTAAGCAATCTTACAATGCCCATGTGTCGTCCCATGTCGTCCCCAGTCAATCTCGCTTCGCCTCCCCTGCGCCGAGAACGGCCTGGAGGCCTTAGCTTCCTTTGCTGAGGCTTGGTCGGAGAGCCTGCAGCAGACACGGAGGGCACCTTCCTCAAACGCGAACAGCTCCTCGAGCAGAAGAAAACAAGAGGTACCATGCTGGAACAACAGGAATCTTCTTTGAAAAGGATAAGCTTGGAAGGTACAAAAGGAGTAATTACTGCAGGTAGGTCCCAAGATTCTGGTTCCTTATGCCACTTTGTCGTGCTGAGGGCAACATGCTTTCGCTGATATGTGCAAGGACTACTTGTCGGGGTGGCGACTTTGTGAAAACAGGTTGGGTGGCGCTGGACTCCTGAAGCCTTCTGTTTTTTCTCTCAAGCTTCTGCATGCTAAGGGCAGCTTTCGAACAGTTTGTTCGGCTGTTGATGCGGGCTTCATCTGCAGTTGCAGACGCGGGGGAGCAGGCGCCATTCAAAGGGGAGGGGTTCTGCGATATGGTTTACTCGCCTGGAATTTCATAAGCGTAGGCCAGGCTTAGATGGGGCTCGAAAGTCACGATGCCCGTTGTGGAGCTGTGACCTAAGGCCCTGACTTCAGGTTTGCGCTTCTAACATCTGTCCGACCTTGAAATATGCAGAGTTAGGAGGCGATGCTCACCACCATTGCAACCAGGGACTGATGATGCAATGGTCTACACGCTATATTCTTCCGCCAAGAATTTAATTGTCGTTGACTTTGGCGTGCCAATTTCAGATGCTAATCGTTCGAGTGAGACCCGGCGAAATTAGGATACTCCAAGCCGAGACCGGTGCTTTCGACTCGGAGCTATGGGCCATCGGCAAGACAGTGCTGTTTCGTGCTTGCCCTGCATAGGCAGAGTGAATCAGGTGTATGCATAGTTGACGCTGCGTTTTGTTCAGTGCAGTTGGAGTAGGAGCTACCAGCAACTTCTTTAATTACTGATAGGGGGACTTGCTTGAAAAACATATTGTAGGCCAACGTCGTTGCCTGCAATTTCTAAGAAACGAGATTGCTACACACAGCTGGCCTCGCCCGAGCCGTAGGTGGACTATTCTATTCGACGGCGCCGCCATAGCACCATGAAGCAATTCAGTGCCTCAGGTTACTATGAAGCACTTGGGCACTCCTTGCTGATCCTCACACCAGTTTCAACAATTTGTGCTGACCCTCCAGCTGGCCGGTAAGATCTTGCATGGCGGCTCTTTGGGCTCCTTTGATTCCAGACTCGACTTGTAGAAGATTATCGCCAATGACAGCACATACGGAGGGGTGATCCGCGCTGTTAGCTTTTGCTTGTTCTTCAAGGTTTGTATGCGCTTGGGAATGGGGCTCTTTTCTACATAGTTATTTGAAACGAGCGTTGCAATGCCGCTCTTCTGAACTTCTCCCTGTGCCCTTTGTCATCTTTTTAGGATTCCAGGGTTGAACGTTACACAAAGGCAGCAGTTACTTGAATTACTAAGACTTGCACATGAGCACCCAAAAAGGGTTCACCTCAGGCATGGCGCATGTGCCCGACGATGAAGATGCCACGAGTGCCTTGGTGGTTGTGGGATGGAGGATGGCAGTGCGTAGTTGTTCATCTTAACGTGCGGCAAAAAAGGATATCTGGAAGTTCCTTGAAATAATTTTTGATTTGTGTTATCTGTAACCCTCATACCAGCTGAAATTGTAATTTTCTGCCAGGGGTTCAGGGAAATTAGAGATATAGGGTTGGAGAAGGTAGGCTTCAGCCGCGATTGTGCCGTTTCGTTGACGGGACTCGGCTTGTCCGAGAGGCTCCGCTGCAGCAGGCTACATCTGCAAGGATCCCAAGATTGGATTCTTGAGGTAATTATCAATTGAAGAGTTTTTGTATTGTGGGACTGGCAGGTGGCCATAAAAGCTTGAGGATTTCCGCTTTATAATGTTGCTATTTCTGAGTGCCTCAGGGTTGCAGCGGGCGTTCCGCTTTATCAGAAAGCCGGTCTTGCTTGACTTTCTTTTGCTACCGGCATCTTGACGGCCTGGCAGGCATTGAGCAGGTGCAACTTGTGTGCCATTGTGTGCTTCCTTTGTTGTAGCTTCAATCAAGCCTGTCGGATTGCTTACGATCATGTGGCGCACCAATCATTTGCACAAGCCACCCTTTCGCCCAGGCATTCGTATGCAATACAGCTTCACAAAGATCGCGCAAGTGTGACTGGCGCGCTGCCAGTAGATACGAAGACTTCGGTGTACTCTGCACAGTTTGAGACAAGGACCTTAACCTTTGCTCAAAGAGTGCTGGCTGATAGACGCCTGAGCGGCTTCCTCCCAAAGGGTCATGCGTCCATCAGCTTCTTCCTACACAACTTGGGGTGGAAGGGCTTCATGTGATTGTTGGTGGAATTTGCGGCAGGTGATCTTGTTTCACATCGGGAGCAATCGTGGAATTTGCTGCTGGACCATGGAAGGAGGACGATTGATCAAGATTGATTAAGCGTCTCACCACCCCTCTCATGCTTGCGGGCCCATGGAAAGACGTTGTGCCCTCATCTTTCTATGCTTCCTCCGACATGTCTTTAGCCGTGGTCTTCTGAAGGTGGAGCTTGCCGACTTCCAGCGTGTCTATGATGTCAATGCCGGGCGCTAAGTCCCTCGACTTCCTCTGAGAGCACAGCATCGGCGCACAAAACACTCGTTCCGGGAGACAAGCAGTGACCAAGCCGGCTGCAACATAGTCACTCGACTTGCTCTCATTACGACGGTTACCCTTACTGCACACTACAGGTTCTGCAATGGCCACTTACGTCTAGGTCCTGTGCAACCGAAGTATGATTGAGAACCTGCAAGCATGTACGCGCTTGTAGGACGCTCACGGTTGTCTGAGGTGAAGGCCATCTTCCTTTGTTCCAAAGCCGTTTTGCCCCAGCCTCAGGGGAAGAGTTCCTGGCAATTTCCATGCTGTATGTGGTACTGTAAAGATCACCTATCCTGCATCAGTTTGAGGGTCAGCTTTACACTTGACAAGTGCACTCATTCGAGGAGGGCAAAATGTATATGAAGTCTGTTGCGTTGTTCCTCTCACACAGGTGGCTTCACACAGGATGTTTCCAAGGCAAATGTCTGGATCAACCATGCACGCGCCTCATGGAGTCCAGATGAGGCCGTCCATGCTGAAGACCGGCTATGGTCGCATTGTGAACATTGCCTCCATCTCGGGCAAGGACGAGCAGGGAAGGCTTGAAGAACTAAGGTACAGTGGTGTTCTGTTTAAATTAAAGAGCCAAGATGCTCAAAGTCAAAAGCATAGAACTCAACCTTCAAGAATTAACCAATGAACGCGATGCGTAGCAAATGCTTCGTGATGGGACCCTGTGTCCATGGACCGGGCTGAAGTTTGCACTGCCTGCTGTTAAACCTGCTTCCGCTGTCAACCAGTCTTTGTCTTTGCCCTTTGCCCGCCAGACCTCGAGTTCCTGACAGCCCTCATTAGATCTGCGTGCCTCTGTGCTACAAGGGCGTCCGGTAGCCGACAGCTGACAGAGCAGGCAGTGTTCATACACATGTGCTACAGATGCATTCTTCATAAGCTCAGTCGTTTCGGCTGGTCTTCGTGGCCTCAAAGGCGAAAGTTGGCTGCCTGAGGAAGTCTTGCGCTTTGAGCTGCCTGCCATGGAGACCATGATGGACCCCATGGAGATCCGCTTCTCACAAGAAAATCTAGGGGAGCATTTCAGAGATGGCACCTCAATTTTTGAGACATACGACCAGATCCTCCAGGGCATGGAGAAGCGTGAGGTGCATATGATCCACGTTGTGCAGCGCGGAGGTCATTACATCACGTTAGACAACCGCCGGGTGGCAGTGTATAAGATGGTCCGCAAGGCAGGCAAATGCGGAAAGGTGAAGGTCAAGATCATGCATCGAGACCAGGTGGATCATGAACTGCGGCGAAAATCGGACTCTACCGTGGAAGGCTTGTCCGTGAAGGTTCGCGGAACAGACAAGGTCATTCACGCTGACGGAGCTTTGACTTTCCCCTGACACATGGGCAACTGCAGCACCGCGCAGACATAGGCGGGCACTGGTCAGATGAGCAACTGCGTGTGATTGGGACGGCCATCTCAGATTTTGAAAAAGTGACCAAAGAGGTTCTTGGTCCTGGAGCGAGGTTGGTGAAGGCCGGCAGCTTCATGAAGGGCACCGACATCGCGGGCGAGTCAGATGTGGATGTGATGGTCTTTGGATGTGGTCCAATCTCGGACTCCAACTGGCAGCGTCTCGTGGAAGGCATCAGAAGCGGCGGCTACACCATCTACACCATAACAAGCACAAACCCTCGCTGCATCCATGTCCAAGCAAGTGGTGGAGTTGGATGTATTGCCATAGAGTTTGATGTGGTTGCCAAACAGAGGCAGGGATTCCCGCCAAATAAGGAGCCCACCAACCCATTCAAGGAGAACCGGCTTGCAGCCAGTGCGGTTCGCAACATCAAGCTCGACTCTGGGCTTCTTCATCAAACGACATACAACTAAGACTTGCTAAGGCTTGAACTTAGGAGGGCAGCTTCAGATCCGGAGTGGAACAGTTGTGCAGGATACCACAAATTAGGCCTGCTCAGCTGAGAGCCCTTATCAAGTACTTGTAGCTGCTAAGCTGAGCCAGCTCTTGCTCTCGGGACCTCAGGCTCGAGGGATACGAAAGTTTCTCATCCCCAGACCCGAAGTCCAGCATGCAAAAGCAGCCGAGGATTTTCAGGACTCCGAGGAGGGTCGCTTCAGTGGCAACTCCATTGAGGAAGCAGTGCTCTCGGAGTATGCCAAGCTGAACAGCCCCGGGCTGGGCAAGCTCATTGATGCGGCCAAAGCAACGCTCAAGAAGGCAATGCTGGACAGGCGGAAGCGCGTCCCAACTACAGCTCGCGAAAACGATGCCAGCGAGAACGATACGAACTGGAGCACCGTTGTCGGAGAAGGCAAGCATCCGCCTGCGTAGAGTCATGACATGGTCAAAGCGCGTAGACTGATGCTTGGCTGGATCCAACACTCGCATGCTGGCCAGGCACGTTCCGCAAAGTCTACAGGGGGCGTTACACGGTCGGCGAGCGAGTCGGTCAAGCCTCAGCGGCCAAGGTTTTCAAAGACGGCACAGAGGCAGGCAAGCTTCCTCTGGGTCCGTGATGAAGTGGCAGTGATTGCTAGCTGGGCCTTAATGAAATTCATGCCTTCAGGCCCCTGTCCCTGAGGCATATGAAGATGCATTCTTCGCCGAAGATGTCAAGTGGTCGGAAAAAGCCATTGAGATCGTTGATGAATTCAACAAGGTCAAGAAGTTCAATCGCTTCGTCCAAGTTTGCAAGCCCGATGTTTGGGTCAAAACTCGTACCAAGCAGCGACTTTTGATGGAGCCCTTTCTACACAATTTCCAGAAGTTCAACTCAAACACGGCTTGGGCAGGCGAAACGGAATGGGCCAAAGCTTTGCAGTCTTTGAGCCAGTTCTCCTATCACTTCACTGGGGGCGACATGGTTCTCTGTGATTTGCAGGGCGCTGTGGAGGAGCACTGCTAGGGGAACAGTGTCTTTTAGATGTCTTGATGCTGGCATCATAGCCTTGGTACGAACGCCCTTGCAGCACGCGCAGCACCAAATGAGAACAGATCGAAACTGCAAGGGAACAAGAAGGTGAGCGGCAGAAACAAAGCTACCATAAGCAAAGGTGTAGCGTTTGCAAGATGCCGGAAGCAAAGCAAGTTTTGCGTAAGCACTTTGAGCGCCAAGCGCCGCAAGCCTTCGAAGTTAACGCTAACGTGCCACCTCGGCCGGCTCGCCTGTAAAGCAGCCTGGAACAAGACAGCTTCAAATCAACTTGTCCCTTCCCTAGTGCCATTATATTCTTAGATCACCTTATATCATATTCCCTACATAATCTTAGCATGTAATCTCTTTATAAAACGCCTTGCAGAGCCCGGTGTGACCTTCTAAAATATGATATTTCCTACATCAGAGCCCTGTGGAATACCTGAATGTCCTTATAAAATCTCACTAAACAGTTGTATGGATTTTACAGGATCCTCCAGCTGCAAATTGGTTTGACGGAGGCCGAGCATAGAAACGCCAGGAGTGGAAGCTGGTGGGGGGAGGGCCTGCACGGCCTTGAGAAACAACTCCCTCGTCCGTTAAGCCCATGGCTTTGTGGCGCTTGGGGCCGTGGAGGGAGGTGGGCGGGAGAGGGGGCGGGGCACCAAGCTAGACCCATGAAATTCACCTGATGCCTTTCCGCCCAGTTCCACCAGAGCTGCACGCCCAATACGTGGAGACTGCCCGCGCCAGTCCGCAGAGAGGGGGGCGAAGGGGGGGTGGGTAGAGTCTTGCTTCTCCAAACGCCAGAGGCCGGGAACCTCGGCGGATTCAAAAGTGCCGCGACGCAAAGTGTGGGGTTTTGTGAGCTACCGTAAGTAAATGTTACTTATAAATGTGTTGTACCCCGCTCGTACGAACAACTTTGAGCTGAACAACTGCAACCCAAGGTCCTCCAACTGGGGGAAGCAGCGCGTGGTTCTCAAAAGTAAGTCGCGAAGCTCCAAACAGCCCTTCCTCACTTCGACATGTACAGAAACCCGTTGCAGTGAACATGTGAATTCTGAGGTTCCATCTTGCTGCTGTGAAGCGGCCCAAAGCCACCCTTAAAGCATGCCCTGCAATGCAAACGTGCCTTAAACTCTGAGCCTTGATCATGTTGGTTTTTCTGGCCACAAGACGATGGCAATGGTGCACATCAGCAAGCAGAAGCTGTACTTGTAGCAGCAATGCGGCGCAGGACGACGTGGTGGTTTTCACAGATCCAGCCATCAACTCCAAAGGACTCGCTCGTTCAAAGGGAGGCTGCGGGCCTCTCTTTTGCAGAGTTTATTGCTAGGCCTCCAACATTTTACTAAACGTGCTTCTTGAGGCCTCTTGCTGTCCAGTTCGAAGCTCCAGTTGCTCAAAACAGCATAGGTATAGTCAAGACTTTTCAGCCCGCCTGGTAAACGGTATTCAGCTTTTGACTGTCATCCAACTAAAGCAGGAAAGCGCTTTGGCCCGGCAGACTTGGGCGAGAAAGGTGGCCTGTCGGCCGAGATGAAAGTCTGCTCATAATCCAGTGCTCAAGGGAATTTGCCACTGGCAGGATGCAAGTTTGTTACATGAGGTTGTTCTGGCTGAAGAACTAAGGCCAATTTGTGAAGACCCATTTGCCCGCAGTTGTTGCACCGCAATCCCAGCTGAAGCCCAAACTTCTACAATTCAACCGTGCTGTGCAGGGTGTGCAGGATCCTGGCAGGTCAGGGTTTATGCAAACCTTTCAGCATGCAAGTGTGGATGACCCCTGAGGTATTGAGAACTTCTTTCACCATCATGTGTGCTCAAAATGGTGTGATGCATCCTGGAGAAAGCCTGGAGTTACAAGCACCCATTTTGCTCCACAGATGGGAACTTCGATGATCCTGCGCTGAGCAGACTGATGCACATAGCTAATCTCATCCTGCATTTCGCTCTGGTTTGAGTATGGGCCAGTGGTGCCAAAGCGCAATCCAACATAGACGGCTCTCATTCCCAAATCTAAGAATCCGCTTGAGGCAGTTCTTGCACAACTGTGCATAACTGAACTCACGGAGGCTACAAGAACGGCTGCCAGCAACCTGAAGGTTTGTTGGAGTTTTGTGTAGTTGTGCCTCCTGCCAGTGGCCAGCCCTGGCAGAGCTTTGCTTCCAGGATGGAGCAAGGCCATCAGTTTTGCTATTTATGAAGTGCAAACAGCCCGCGCTGCAGGAAAACGTGCACTGGGCGCTGCCTGTGTGAAATGTGCAACAGGTACACCTGTGACAGGTGGCTACAAGAGCCGAGACCAATTTCCATTGGTGACACAAGTGACGTATTTTGTATCTTGAGAAAGGTCGGAGTTCTCGAAGATAGTCGATTATCCCCCCCGCTGTGAATGTGTTGGATGGGCGATACTTGGCGAGCGCGTACTTCTGCTAGGCCAATGGCAGGGCTCCTAGACTTCTTGACTTTGCTACTCTGCAAGCTAGGAGCCGGACTCCCGGTCAGATGTTGCAATCACCCAGGGGAGTGGAGGATGGCACTCAGAGCCTTCTAGCAGGAATTGCCAAGACTTCATGCTAGCTCCTTAGCAACGTGTTCTCTGGTTGAAGTCGAGGACGGGAATGCTGGGATGCTGGCATACTCCTCATCAAAGGCGCGGTCTTCCATGCTGCAGCCTGTGCATGCTCGAACTTCCGGAAGTCAGTGGCCCCAGCCGAACGAATCTTTTATCTACCTTCTAGCTGTCATTGTTATTGACATGAGCAGGGAACGCACGAGAAGCTTTGAGACAGTTTTGTATCATGGTAGACGGACAGCCCCCTTCAGGAAGCCGCCTGTTGGGAAAGTCGCTGAGCGATTTCTCTATTCGGGAATGTGATCACTAAGTGTTTCTCAACTATCAGTTGACATGCAGCTGGAAAGCGTGGGTCGGACTTTCGGGAAGCCCGGAGCAGCATTCCCGCCGCTCACCCAGGTTTTACAAAGACTCAGCGAGAACATCGCCCAGATTTTAATTAAATAGCCCTGAGCCATCATCTGACGATGCGGAGGCTGCCGTGATCAACCTGACAAAGGTGATGGGCAAAGAGTACGCAAACTTCGGAAAGGCTACTGCAGGGTCCAGAGTCAGCAGACGCGATGGATTAAGCCCATATTGCCAACAACCGTTGTGTTGAGAAGCTGTTTTTTGTCTGGGCTGCTGCGTGATTCCTGCCTGAAGCTTGAACCAGGACATCACGATCAATTGCATAGCGCCAGCAGTTGTGCAAACAGCGTTCCGACCTCAGACCTTCTCAAGATGTCACTTGGAACGGCTTTGTTCGAGGGAGCCAACCGTGATGTAGACTCATGTAGGCAGGTCATGCAGATTCCCTTGGTTGCCTTATTCCAGGCAGCAACGAGAGGGTTGAGCTTAGAGTAGGACATTTGAATTCTGGCAGCTTGTGCTCTTGGGCTGCATGGCATTGCCGGGACTGCGCATGTTGATGTGCAAATGTTTTTTTTTTGTGTTGCCTCGACCACGCGTAGCTTTGCATTGTCTGTATCTGCGGCACGTTGCATGTCTAGCTTCCTTATTGACTAGGCAATGCGCAACGGGCCCCCGTTCCTTGTGTATGTGTCGTCAGTCAGCCAACGAAGCCTGCCTGAGCTTCCTGGCGCGTGCGGCTCGCACGCTTTGCAGCATTCCAAGGATGGTGGATGCAATGCCTCCAGAACAAGTGAAGTGCCCCTACCTCTTGTACTGCAACAAGCTTCTGAATGAAGAGAGTCGTCTGTGAGGCGCAGGTTTTGGATTTTTGGGCGCCAGCTCTCGATTCTAGACATGTGGGAATCGCAGAGCGCCCCTGAAACATTTTTTGTGGTTTAGCAGCTTTGTGGCTAAACATAGCTGATCCCGGCTTGCTGACCGAATTGGTGCAGAAAGAGCGAGCAGGCAAGCGAGCAAGCAGGCGCAGTCGCAGATCCTCCAGTCCTGCACGTTTCTGCGCGCTGGCCGTCTCCCCCGATAATGCTTGCTTGGCATGAAGCCTTCCACCCTCACCAAGCTTCTGCCGAACAGGTACATGACCGACAAGATCCCCATGGGCCGGACAGGCAAGCTCGACGAGGTGGGGCGGTGTCGCTGCGAGCTATAGATCTAGCGGAAGACTCTTGATGATTCGGCAGACCATATAGCCAGATAGCCTTGTTGTAAGTGTCACCTTCCTCCAAGGCATGCTCGCCTGCAATTGCAGCAGATACCCGTAGCGTGTTACCAGATTTGTTGACCAGGTGGCAGCAACAATTCTCTTTGCGGCTTCGCAAGAGTGCTCATTTACCACCGGGTTTTGTGCGCGGCTGAGACGCCGACAGCCCGAGACGTGATTTTTGGCTGCTTTGGCTATGGTGGGTCCATGCTTTGAAGTGCATAGTGCAGGATCTTGTTGGCTTCCGCATGAGCTGAGACTGCTGGACTGCTGACCTTGTCCCGTGGAAGACTTGGGCAAGCTGATCTTGCCCTCGTGCCCGGCTGTACTCAGGTTTTGATGCCAGCGGTGGACGAACTGTGTACTGACTTGTACATAGGAGTCAGCGGCTTTGTAGGGTAGGCTCACAAAGTGTCCTCTGGGTTTGTCTGACGCACTTGGTGCTGCGGATTGCCGTAGATACAAGCTTGGCTCATGTTTTGCTTTGGCCGCTTTGAGGGCACTGCTTTGTCTTGGCGCTCTCCGAGATTCCTTGGATGGTCCCAAGCCTCTAGGTTCAAACTGCCCGAGGCGTGAGAGTAGGCAGTGAGCTCCGCGAAAATGACACATGCCCCCTAAATAAAAGCAAGCTGCCTCGACAGGGCCTACTTGTAGCAAATGAGTCGAAGACTAGGAGTGTTCGGATGCAGACGCTCCGCGCCATCATCGGATGCCAAACGAGTGCCATAGTACGGAAGTCCGTTTTCCTTCTGGCCTTGTGCAGAGGACTGAGCGCAATAGTCACAGAAGCAAATTATCTGTCTGCTGCAGGGTCTTGCCTCATATGACTCATATGTCTGCTACAGTTTCTGTGCTTGGCCAAGTGGTCCTACGCTGCTAGTCTTCCATATCTGCTCGTAGCCATCTGGATGCAATCCACGAGGTGGTGTTTTTGCTGCCGCAGCTGTAGTAATTTTGCATCCTGCAGGTTGGCCCAGAGCAGTCCTAGTCAGTATCTGTCCTGAACCTTCCCATCCCAAGCCGATATTTTTCATCCTGCTACGGCAAGTGCCTGTTGGGCAGTGCGGCCTAAACAAGTCTTAAGATCATGCCAAAATAGTAGACAACAGAGAGATCAGCTCAGGGGCTCAGGGTGTAGAATCCCGTCCTCCGGCCCGCGGCATGGACCCTGAGCCTGGCGAGCCTGGTGTGCTGGACACAGAGCTGGATGCTAGCTTTGTATGGACGATTGCTGCCCTGCAGGTGCCGTTCCTGGCGAGGGCTGTGTACATCGCAGTGCTCCACCGCGGCTATTTGCTCGACACCGCCCTGAGCTGCCTAAAGGCACTATCAGGGCGAGGGAAGTCGCCGAGTGACGCACAGACCACGGAAGACGAGAGGCTTGTGAACCAGCAGATCAACGACCTGCGGTTACATATGGCGCGCCTTTTTGTTCGTTACGTTTGCGTGCTTCTTGGCTTTTTCCTTTCTTTCCAGCAGCTGCGAGTTATTCGGGGTCAGGTGAGCTGGGTGCCCAACACCGCAGTTTGGTCTGCTGTGCCAACGTTTGCCATCACGGGGATCATTGATATGTTTCCAAATTTTCTCACGATCGCAAAGCTCAACATGATGTATGTGGTCATTGCGCTTTGCCTCACCGCGCAGTTGTCGCCATGGTTTCTAGGACTGGAAGATGCAACGCTGATGTCAATTTGTGTCCTTGGCTTTATTCGCCTTCCTGCAGTTGGTATTGCTACTCGACCTTCTCTGGTGGCTGTGTGCAATGTTGGTCCAATTATTGTAGTCTCCTTGCGAGCCGTGTTTGAAGATGCACCCGGTTCGTTTGTGAACGCCGAGATCAGCGGATCCCTTCTCACTGTTCTTGCAGCCGTTTCCTTGCAGGCTGGGCTGAAGCGTCGCATGGAGCATGGCCTTCGATTCAGCAAGATGGCAGAGAACCTTCACGCCGCATCATCCCTGCTGAACTTGACCTGTGACGCTGTCATAGAGCTTGACGCAGATCTGCGGGTAGTTGAGCACTCACCAGCGCTTGCCGCAATGCTTCTCCGGGGTCGGCCAGGCTCGACACTTGCTGGCGTCGACTTCCGAGACTTCCTGCCCGGCGTGGATGCGCACCGAGCCTTGGAGCTCCTGAAGCGCTTCGACTCCTCTCAGCCTGGCAAGATCAAGACGCAGGCATTCTCCACGCGCCTGCTGGACAGCGATTCCAACAAGATCCGTACTGAAGTGTTCCAAGTCTTGTATCAGAACGTTCAGGGTCAAGCTCGCCACCTCATTGGCCTTCGCGATTGTACAGATCAAGGCTCGCTAACCGGAAGCGCTGAGTTGTCTGATATGCAATATTCCTACACGCTAATGGCAGCAGATGTTTTCACTCCAATGAGCTCTCAACCCGTGTCCCCTGCAATGGCGGAGTCGCCCGCTCAGGCGTCACAGCCTGTTCAGCGGAATGCCGCCCTCATCCGCATCCCAAACCGGCTGCTCTTTGTTCAGATTGACATGGATCGGCGAGTGGTTTCTGCAGCTTCACGGTCCGCTTGCTTAGGCAGGACTCTCAATGACCTCTTTCCTGCTGGTGGAGCGGAGCTCTTGGAAAGTGCTTGGGTCGAAGCCCAGCGCGAGCAAGGTGAGTCAGCAGCCTTCACGTTCGCAGCCTTGGATCTGCGACTGAGCACATCTGCCAGGGACTACATCAGTGGGGCACTCCAGGCAGTCCAGACGGAAGAAGGGACATGGCAGTTAATGCTATTGAGCAAGATTCCCCCGACTCTCCTGACTCCCGAAGGGAGTTCACCGGGCACTCTGCCGCCTGTGCCTGAAGCAGCTAACCGCCAGCGTTCTGCTTCTTCGGAGGATAGTACAGGTTACGTGCACGTGCAATTCTGAAGAAATCATCTGCGGGCAAGCCCGCATTTTTCACGACAGTTAGAAGTTAAGATGCTGGGGGGCTGGCAGACAAGCGACAAAACAAGAGCGTTTCAGCTGTTGCTCCTTCAAGTGCCGCATCTTCCATGCTTGCTTTGCTCAAATGCTTCTGATCCCTTGTCACTTGCCTGCCTGGCGCCTTTAAGGAATTTCACGCCATCCGCTCCGCACCGCTGCTGTCTTGCTCGAGCGTTAGAGGGCCCAGCTTGCAAAGTGAAGGGGACTTCAAGCATGCTTTCCGCCGCCGCCTGGTGCAGCAAAATACAGAAATGCACCAATGAAGTGTCGAATCCATGCTCGAGGTTTGAACAGCAAAGCTCTTGAGGCTTGCTGCTACGGGTTTCTTGAAGTCGGGGGACGTGAAGTTGCCGCACCATTGTCTTAGGTATTGGGTGTGTCTTCTTGTGCTTCATCCGATGCAACCGAGTAGTTGAAGTCATCATCCGGTCTGCTAATTGTTCCCGGTGCCGTGCCGTGACTTCTGGAGATCTCTCACTCTGGCATCGGCCTGACAAGTCCATGCAGTCCTCGAATGCAGCCGAGGTTGCGGCCGCTTATGTGGTGTCCCCCACAGTGCTCCGGATCCATGTTCTGGAATTCCCTCAAAAGGGGGAAGAATACAACAAGTAGAAATTCTATTGCGCGCCTTTCTCAGGCGACACGGTAAATAATGTGCGCAAAACGGGCCTTGAAGGCCTATGCTTGTGGCAGAATGCGGAATCTTTATTTTTTTTCTTTTCTATGGGCTGCTGTAGGGTTTCTGAGCTTTGGGAAGCTTCAGGAGTGCTTAATTACTCCGAAAACATCAGCTGCCCGCTTCAGGTACTCCTATGACGGCTTGGACACGCATGCCCGTGGCATCCCCAGATCTCCCTGCGTGTCTGCATGCCGCGTCTTGGAAGTACGCGTTGGCGAGGTGCTGCAAATTATACCCAGCCAAATAGTGAAAGAAGCCGGTAGCAGGGTGGGGCAACAGTTGTACTGTCACTTCTTCTCTTGTTCGTTCTAGCGAACAAGGATAACTCAGCCAAACCTTTCATTCCAAGACTTCTTTGTTGTATGTGATGCATGTCGGATGCTGCTTCCGGTTTGCATCTGGACAATTGATGATGATATGTACTGGTCTGTAGCTTTTTCCAGTTCATGAACTGCTCGCCGGCAAGGCAACGGAGGCTGAAGGCTTGTTTTCCTTAACTACTCAGGTGCTCCACGTGTCTCGACCCCGCCGCCTAGGTGCGCGAGGCAGCGGCGGGTGAGCTTTTCACGGCTTTTTTAAACTACTGATCTGTGACTCTGGCAGGTGACAGCTCAGAAATCAGGGACGCGTTCCTGACAGCTAAGTAAATTGAAATGCAGGCATCAGGAGGCATACCTAGGTGCAGAAGGACTTCAGTGGTTCAGGTGTCCACACATTGGTTGGGCATCCAGTGCAAAGCAAATACCTTGAAACGCACCACATGAGGGACAAGCTTCGGGAATGACATGGTATTGGTAGTTTCAAGACGGAACATTGCTACATGCAACGGGGTAACGCGGGCCAGAACGTTTTACCTCCGCGCAAGGTCAAAGCTCTGCGATGCTCGAAGCACGGCGAGCCAGAAGGTCGAGACCGAGAAGTTTCTGGCGTTTAAGGTCTGTGTAAGATTCTCTCACCTGTAGGTTGCCGGTCTCCAAGTTGCAACGGTCAAAGTTTGAGGTCAGTTCGTTGGCACGTTCCCTTGCCACGGCCCCTCTTGAGTTTTATTTGGCTTGCAAAGCGTTTGGTCAGAGAGCGCCGCCACAATGCAACATGAGCCCTGGCAAAAGGTGCGAAGATCGACGCCTTCCAGCCCGCCAGGCCAGAACTTGCCAGAGCTTTAGCATAGCCACGATGAGTTGAGAGCCACTGCTTGATTGGTTTGGGCTCTCGGCATTCTATTCCGTGAGCTACTGGTGCGTTCTTACGGCTGCATGCGCAAAATCATTCATAACTAGTCGTTGGGGGCTGCAATGACCCTCATGTGCAGACGAACAAAGACTTGCTTCAGGCAGCTTATCCCCGCTGCGCACAAAGGCCTGGGTGGTCATGCAGGGATATAGGCATGCATGCCGAGACGGAGGTGCTCTTTTCCTGATGTTGCACAGTGCCGAGATATGTATTTGCCTCTTTTGGCTGAACACAACACTCCGCTACTTCTGCCGGGTCCACAGGCGCTGCAGCATGGGCCAGCCTCGCAACGAAGCCCCTTGGGCTTCTGACTCTTACTGGTCATGTTGTACTGAGAGCCCATGCATGCTGGAGCTGCTGTTTCTCTCCTGCAAGCAAGCCAAAAAGTTCTTTGTGACCTAGTTTGGTGGAGCTCGTAAACGACATGTCAGAAGTTGCTCTGGTCCTGACCTGTCCTGCTGAGCCTTGCTAAGCCTACCAGAGCCAGCGGGTCAAAGTCGGGACTCATCTGGCCAAATACCAAAGACGGACATGCATAATATGAAGGAGTCGTCAACTTGTGAGCAGATACCCAGGATGAGTCGACTTTTTACTCAGGATAAACAAGGGCAAAAGTCCACTTCCTGAACCTGATGAGGCGCATGAAAACGAACTGCTCAAATGTCAGGCCCTCCACTGACAGCTTCAGCTAAGCTGGTTGCTGCCTCAGAGTCGCCTAGCAGGCAGGCTTTTATGTGGTTAAGCGGTTCCTACATATTCCGCCCGACCAGTATAGGATATTCAAGGCAGGGGCCATTTTTGAGAGACACCACATGTTTTGCCACATGGGCGCGTCAGGAATGTAGGGAGCTTGGCTTTGCCTTCCACTCCCATTAGTGAAACTCCAAGCCAGAGCTCATCCAGTTGGACACCTCAACAACCAGCATGGTGACGAATCCTTCCCAACAATTGCTACTCTTATCCTCAATCCATCTGACTTTGCTTAAGGAGGAAAATGAGGAGGTATCCAGTCTCATCACAATCCCCATAATTCCGCCATTCAGTCACTCTGGTGGCCGGATCCCTGCTGCCAGCCGTATCAAGCCATCCCATGCAGCATGTTGAGCCAAGCTCTAAGTCAAACTGTCAGTGCTTGATGTCAAAGGCTGGAGGATTGCGTCCATCCACACCGCCACGGCAGCCACAAAGGCACACACACATCGTGTGGACTTATGGATCTGACATATGGCTATTGTACAGCTCTGCGGCTCAGATATTTACTAGTGCAAAATACGTATCACACCACGTGCAGAAACCAGAAAGGTTGCAACAAGAGCATAACTATTGTCACAGCGAGCGAAGCTGTCAAAGCGTACGTCGCTGTCATTCCTGTGATGTGCGTCACGATGTGCACGTACTACAAGGTGCATGCAATGACAAGTGGGACAGAGAGTGCGGCAGTAATCAAATAGCGCGGTAATGATCTGTTAGTGAGTTGGCCAAAGCTCATTCTTCTCATCCAATGCCGCGCGGCGCCGTGCAGTATGACGAGGGCGGACATGCAAAGCCAATTACGTTTCGTGCCACATGAGTTGGCATGCTGGCTCGGTGCAACACTGGAAGAAAAGTATCTGCCGCATGCAGAGATTAAGAGGTGTTTTCCAGGCACCCGCGCTGTGCACAAAACTACTTACAACGGAGGTTCCAGGTAGTGATATTGGCAGCTTTTGCTAACCTGCAGTCCCGTTCTGACAATTTGAGGCACTTTCTTGTCGCCCTTCGTTTTTCGTGAACCAGACCAGGACGTGCTTTAAATTTTCAAAGCTGATACTGGCAGCATTGAGACATGCCAAAGCGAACTTACAGGGATAGACTTCTCGGGTAAGGCGTGCGAGTGCCATGCCACGGTGATGCTTGTTTGCATGCTTTTATTTATCACTTCCATCCTTGCAATTTCAGATGTAGGTTGTCCTTGTAATTCTGCATGGGCAGGTCTCGGCTTCAACGAGGGCAGGGCCCTTGGCTTGATGCAGAGGTGCACCTGTTGATCTTGGTGCGACTGCTTAGCTTCTTGTCATAGAGAGGCTAAGATCCTGGCTTCTTTTTCAAGTGTTTCCAGCTCCCGCTAGCAGCCATTGACAAGTGCAAGTTTGATCAAGGCAAGCTTAGGACTGCTTGTTGGAATCTCGCCCCACCTGAATCTATCGTGGGTCATGTGATGCACAAGTTGCCGGCGTTTGGATCCCGACAAAGGTCTCCAGCTGCATGGTCCGACGAGGTCAGCAGCCGCGCTCACTCGAAGTTCATGGGAGCTGTGTATCAGCCATATCAACTCTGCTCATCTATCACTGAACTCATGACCTCAATGTGACAATGGTGTCCCTCACGACAACTTTAGGCCATGAACTCAAGAGCACGTGAAATCCTGATGCCTTAGCAGACGATAGCCTTGCCATATCCCTTGCTGCAAGGGGTGCTGGCAGCTGCCCAACAGCTCGGATGCAGGCAGCCGCGACAGCATTTTCTCTAGAGGACTGTTGAACAGAGAGGCCTTGTCTCGCCAGATCAAATCGATGCCAAAATCGAAAAATGCATGGTGGAGGGGATGTGCTCTGCTGACGGAATTTCCAAAGCTTCTGGGTAGTGTTCAAAGACCATTAAATGCAAATATGCGGCATCCCAAAGAGTGCAAGACTACTACAACAATTCTTCAAGAGCACCTCCGAGACGACCCAAGACCTCAAAGAGCGTGTTGGCCAAAATGCGAGGGCTGCGAGGGTAACCCACGCGAGAGCAGAATTTTGAGGCAATTGCGAGGACGCTCAACAACAGCACGGTGTGCAGCCACGGAGTAGTACACACACGGGGCTGTGGCTTGAGGGCGATGCGAGCGGACCACGAATCTCACACAAGCACGGGATCCGGCCAGCGTGCCGCGTGACCACCTCAACCAGACACTGCTTGGGAAAAAAGCTGTCATGAGCTCGGTGTATTCACCCAGCACATCATATGTTCTTGACGAAGCCGCGCATCATCTCTACATACGATCTGTTTA